ATATGGTCAAAGAATTTTGAAAATCGGCCGGTAATAATTTGAGTTATGAGTGTGTAAACACAAAATTGTGATTGCCGCGTTTCCCGCGTCGGCCGATCCCGCTTCAGCCGGCGACATCTTACACTTAGCAGGCTTCTAACTGCCATATTTATTGTTGGATTATCTAGAAATTCACCATACATACTCACAAATGTTTGTTCTTTCGTATAGTGAAAGAAAAAAGAAAATCGGCCGGTAATTTTTTGAGTTATCGGCGTGTAAACGCAAAAAAGTCGCTAATATGGCAGATTTGACCACATTTGACCTCATTTGACCTTGAAGATATTGACCTAGGGTCATGAAATTCACACAAAACAGAGTTCCCCATGGCCCCCACCTACCCTCCAAATTTCGTCTTTCTAGCTCCAGTGGGAGCTGAGATCTTAGGGGGGGGGGGCGACATCCGCCCCCCCCCTTCCACTGGGCGTAGTACTCGCAACCCTTCCACTGCGCGTGTTAAAAAATCGAGCTAATCGAGCAAAACGGATTCCATTTCCGGAATCAGCGTGAAAAACTGACCTATAAACAGGTGAGAAACCATTTACCTTATAAATCACGCAGACCAGTGTTATCAAAAGGTGTATTTTTACCACTTCGGTTGAATGTTGGATACCTATAGCGGCATTTATGTATGGTTTGTGCGATTTTATATCGTAATTCACAAAGAGCAAAGGTGGATATAGCACATTTTCCGAGCCTTTAATTTGTCAGTTGCGCGTTTGCTCCCCAGTCCCGTCACCTCGCCTCCATTTGTCTTTGCGTCGTTTCGTGCTGTAGGGGAGAGTGGGGTAAGATGCCCAGGGTGGGAAAGACGCCCCACCCCCTCTAGCGGCGAAACAAAGAATCGAACCTGGAAATTTATGCTCTTAGCGTAAAGCGGAAGCCTGCCTTGTTAACTGCACAAAAATTTGCGAAGCTCAGTTGGGCAACGGCTGACTGGTGATTGCATGTTTTTTATTTGCTGCTTTCAAAAAATATTTTGGTGTCAAAACATTGTAAATATCAAAGAAAGTAGATAATTTTTGCGTCCCTTGCTATAGTCGTGATACATTAGCATGCGTATGCTGTGTCCCAAACAGTTTGTTTCAAGGTGTAGTTTTATGGCTAACAAATTGTACTGATTTAATGTTACTTCGGTACCTCGGGGTAAGATGCCCCCTGTCCTGATGGGGAAAGACGCCCCCCTAAATCCGTAGGTTGTCCTTCAAGCAGCCCGTCAAATCATTTATTACATACTTGTGATGAAAGACAATAAGCCGATCTGGGACTATTGAGAGTCCAGTACGGTCGGGTGCTCCCCATGCCGGTCTCTCGGCACAAACAGCGACTTTTTGGGCGGCATCTGACTCTGAGAGCCCTCACGACGGCCTCTGTGGGTCCCATTATTGGCTCCAGGGCCCCTCACGACATCCTTTGAAGGCTCCCACGTTGGCTCAACGGGCCGCGCAGGCATCTGAGGTCCCCACGATGGGCTCGAGGGCCCTCAAGCATCATGAAGATCTATAAGGGCCCCACAGTGGTCTCCGAACGCCACCACGGAGGCTTGTTTGGCCGCGCTGGACTATGATGGCCCTAACGATGACCTCTGAAGCCCCTTACGACTACTTTTGAGGGCCCTTACGATGACGTTTGGTGTCTACTGGAGGCTCGAAGGGACTACTGATTCGTTCAGGCGATTCACGTGCCCATTTATGTCACTTATAGTGCAGGGGGCATCTTCCCCAACGCCAGGGGGCGTCTTTCCCACCCTGTGGGGTAAGATGCCCCCTTTCACTTCTTCAGGAAAATGCTGAATAGCAAAAAGAGTTATCATATTTCAGGCACGAAAGAGTGATATTTTTGGAGAAAAATGATGTCGGCTTCCGTTGAAACTCCAAGTTTTTGCTTTCCGATCGTCATTTTCGAATAATATATGCCATAGTAAAACCCTGGGCATCTTTCCCCACTCTCCCCTATGTCACGTGATTGAAGAATGTCTGAGCGTGTAGTGCCGCCCTGATCAACCCTGATCTAATACCCAGTCACCGGATGTAATCACACAACACGCACAGGGGATAGATAAAGGAAATGAAACGGTGGCTCGTTGAAGTCATAGCCCATACGATACCACTCCTAAATGTTATATGCTCGTCGGTATCAAGAGGTTAACGCCCAAAACTAAAACAACTGATTGTGAAGTGGAAATATATTTCACTGTGAGTCAATCTGATGGCGTTCATAGGACATTTCATAGACACTTTTCAAACGGACCGTTTCGTGCGCGCAAGACGCAATGGATAACGTATTCGATATAACGCATAGCCAAATTGATAATGAGTTAAAGACCATGCGGCTCAACACATTAAACCACACGGAACAAAGCCCCTTCTTCTAGGGATGCAGACCTTCGGTATCGATGGAATTCATCCAATAAGCAGCGTCCTCCCTCGGAATCTTTCCGAACACAGCATCAATTTTCAGAGTGAGACGTTCTCTGGGAGGCAGCTTCATCTTTCTCGTCCCTTGGCTGACCTTCTTGTGACCTCGTCTGCCTTTCGGACCGAGGGGGGCAAGAGAGTGTCGCCTTTTTGTTGCAGCGAAGGCGTTCTCCGCTCGGATGACCCAGGCCCACCGAGATGTCACCTGTTCCAGGGGAGGCAGTCGAATCAGCAGCTTCTCCCCGGGCTTCTGGATCCACTTCAGATTCTTTTTGTTGCCTCCGAGCAGAGTGAGTTTCCCCACGGACGGCTTCAGCCTCAGACTCCCCAGCTTCAGGCTCCTGTCGGCGGGCCACTTGAGGAGCAGGACGTAGACGTAGCTGTCTCGTTGTGTGTACCACACTCCTGGCGTGCTGGAGTCGTTCTGATGTACCCACGGCCGGGAGCTGTAGATGGCCTCGCCGTTGATGCCGAGCCACTCGCCCATCTGCCGGAGCCGCTCCTCGAAGATGGGCACGATGCGTCCGTCGTGCGTGGGCCCGACGTTGAGCAGCAGGTTGCCGCCGCAGCTGACCGTTTCCACCAGCTCGGCGGTCAGCTCCTCCATGGATCGGATGTCGGCGAGCGACACGTCGCGCCGGAACCCCCACGAGCCGCGGTCCACCGTCAAGCAGTTCTCCCACTTGCGCTTCTGCAGCACGCCCGGGTTGTAATGGTCCCGGCAGGTGATGAAGTCACCGTGCGCGCAGCCGGCATCCTTGCCCCAGCGATCGTTGACGACCACGCGGTCCTTAATGGGCGAGTCGTTGTATAGCCAGGCAATGAACTCCTTGCTTCCCCAGTAGTCCGAGTTGGTTGCCTCGATGCTGCCGTCCGACCAGATCACGTCAGGGTTGTAGCGTCTCACCAGCTCATACAGCTCGGGGATCGTCTTGGCGGCCGGGAAAGTCACCTGCGTGAAGTTGCTCGCCTGGTCCGACAGCCAGAACGGGTTGAAGAACTCGAACAGCGAGTGGTAGACGCCGAAGTGGATATCAGTGTTGTTACGAACGGCGTCGGCCAGGTCCTGAACAAGATCACGCCTCGGTCCGACGTCCTTGGCGTTCCAGTTCCAGGCGTACTTGCTTGGCCACAGCGTGAAGCCCTCGTGATGCTTGGTGGTGAGCACGACGTACTTTGCTCCCGCCGCCTTGAATAGCTTCGCCCACTGCGCAGGGTCGAAGAACTCAGCCGTAAACTTCGGCGCGAAGTCGGCGTACGTGAACCCGGGCCGGAAGTTCCTCTTCATGAAGTTCACGTGCGCCGGATCGCCGTCGTGCCACTGTTTCCAGAACCAGGCGTCACCGAAGCTCGGCACCGAGTAGACGCCCCAGTGGAGGAAGATGCCGAACTTGGCCTCATCGTACCACTGTGGGAGTGGCCGGGTGTCCAGAGACGCCCAGGTGGGCTGATAGCGGCCCTGGGCGACCTCCGGCACCAGCCAGCTCACCGCCAGCACCAGCAGCGCCCACAGCATGGTGACTGACCACACCACTGTTGGAGGCGCCTGGTGACTGACCGCTGGCGATTAATCTCTGGTGATGGATCGCTGATGACGCGTCGTCCGTGGCTGTCACTAACGAGGCGCCACGGTGCTATGGACGAAAGCCGTCTCACAAACAGTCGTCTCACAAAACCTCGTTCACGCTTCCATCCGCACGTCTGGCGTCTGACACAGCCCGTGTCTCTGAATTCACTGTTTCACTGCCAGCAATGCCACCGGTATTGAGCGCTGCAGCGCCCTGCAGCCGGCCGTCTATCTGCACAGTGTACACCCTGTCACCGTGTGCACATAGTCCATGAAACTGCGCACCACCCGACGCCCGGAGCCGGGGTGACGGCCAACAAAGCAGGCCAGCCGGTCTGATCGACGAGCCCGGTGCACAGTGGTGCCATGGGATCAATACCGTGTATGTACCTACACAGGAGCGGGACCGTTTGTAATGTTTCGTGTCGATTTTAACCAGATACGAACAGTCACTTATTTATAAGAATTCGCTATTGATATGTGCTGTATAAATGCAACAGACGGACACTGAATTTGTTTTTATAAGCATTAATTTCTCTCCACCTTAGTATACGCTCAACGCTGACCTGTAGTATACGCCTACCTACCCGATACGCCTATGACAGCCTCATATTTTAGGTACTGGCGCTCACTGTATGTTAACTTATGGAAATTTTCATATAATTCATTCACCGCAACAAATAACAATGACACTTGTGCTAACATACCATCGTTCAATTGACGGTCAAACTTATGACCGTATTGCGCTCAGAGTTCAACACGCTCTCAATTTCGACCTGGCGCTATGCCAAACCGGCGCGATACGATACCGAATCCATCGAGTTTATGGCCCGGCGGGGCCCGACTGTACCGAGAGTGTCCGTTCGCCGTGTGGGACCGGTGTTGCCGCACTGTATCAGCGCTATCTACCGCTCATCGGTTTATCTCAAGTCAAGGAGGGTGTTGACAAAAGGAGGCCCATCGCCGCGGTCTACAACAGTCAGCGCGTGTCAAGTCAACTGTCGGGAAGAGACGGTCCGGTTTCATCCGTTCCCGCCTCCCGCAAGGAGCCGTGCTCCCCACCCGCCAGGAGCTTTACTTCCCTTTCCACCTGGCGCCGTCGGTCGATGCCGTTGTGTTTTGTGGCGCGGCGTCGTGGTGGTCCGTCGCCGTGCCTGGAGGGAGGGCTGAGGGGTGTCGCCAGTCGGGGCCGGTGTGGATGTCGCGTGGCCGCTACTGTTGACGAGGTGTTCAACGGGAACGGTCGTGCCAGGGCCGAGCTGGACTGGATGTGATATGAAGACGTAATTCACGGATGTAGTGACGACGGATAGTGCAGAAAGTGAATTGGGAAGGTGAAGTGGCCGGATTATTGAGTCAGTTGTGTGAAGTAAGAATCGCACCTGTGAAAGCTCAGCATCGAGTTCGCTACCTGGCTGCCAAACTATCGTCTGTTCTGTGCCAAACTATCGTCCGACCATGTCGCCCTCTCTGGCCACCCTCTCACTCTGTCTGGCTCTGCTCTCTCCCGCCTCGTCTCTCCTCTATCCCCGCGCGTCCGAGTCCCGTGACCTGGTCTCCTTAGACGGCATCTGGCAGTTCAGGGTCTCTCCGCCGGGAGACCCGAACGCCGGCTTCCGCGAGGCCTGGTACTCGGCGCGCCTGTCCGAGAGCGGCACGACCATCCCGATGCCGGTGCCCTGCAGCTTCAACGACATCACTGCCGACGACGAGATCCGCAACTACATCGGCTGGGCGTGGTACGACCGCGAGCTGTACGTGCCGTCCGCCTGGTCGGACCGGCGCGTCGTGCTCAGGTTCGGCAGCGTCAACTACAACGCCGTGGTCTGGGTGAACGGCCACTCGGCCGGCTCCCACGAGGGCGGCCACCTGCCGTTCGAGCTCGAGGTGACGTCTCTGCTGAACATGGGAGCTGCCAACTGGCTGACGGTGGCCGTGAACAATACACTGGACCTGGAGACTATCCCCCAGGGAAAGATCACCTTCAAGAATGACACAACACGCTACCCGGATGGCTTCTTCGAGCAATCGTACAACTTCGAGTACTTCCATTACGCCGGCATCCACCGCTCCGTGCAGCTGTTCACCACGCCGCTGGCGGTCCACATCAAGGACATTACCATCACGACCAACTTCTCTACGGACCCCAGCGGTCTGCGGACCGCTTTCGTCAGCTACGAGGTCGATGTGGTGAGGTCAGCGAAGGCCTCGGCCAGGTCGAGCCTGGTCAAAATCCGGGACCAGCGCGGACGAGCGGTGCACTTCAAAAGCCTTCCACTTTTGCCAAAGTACGGCCGTATCCGAGGGATGGTCACAATCCCGAACGCTACCCTCTGGTGGCCCGTGGGGATGGGAGAGACCCCAGGGTTCCAGTATACACTCGAGGTCGTCGAAACTGCCGACACTGCCACCAGACGCGGCGCCGCCGCAGAGGTGGACGTCTACCGTCAGCTGTTCGGCGTGCGGACGGTAACCTGGGATTCGAACCGGCTCTACGTCAACAACCGTCCGTTCTACTTCCGTGGCTTCGGTAAACACGAGGACGCCAACATCGTGGGCCGAGGTCTGAGCCTGCCCCTCATCATGCGCGACATCAACCTCATCCTCTGGAGCGGCGCCAACTCGTTCCGCACCTCCCACTACCCGTACGCCGAGGAGCTGCTCGACCAAACCGACGCCGCTGGCATCGTCGTCATAGACGAAAGCCCCGCCATCGGCCTGGAGGGCTTCGGCGCGACGCTGCTCGCCAAGCACAAGCGTGTGATGGAGGAGCTGGTGGCTCGCGACAAGAACCGCCCCTCGGTACTGGTCTGGTCGCTGGGTAACGAGCCTCAATCGGCCGAGGAGGCCGCCGGGCCGTACTTCAAAGCCGTGTACGATCACACACGGGCGCTCGACCCGACCCGGGCCATCACCACGGTGGTGTCTGTCGGTGCCGACAAGGACCAGGCGTCGGCATCGATGGACCTCGTCCTCATCAACCGCTACTTCGGCTGGTACTCGGACAGCGGCCGGGCCGAGGTCATCGAGCGTCAAATGCTGACCGAAGCAGCTGCCTGGCACTGGACGTTCGGGAAACCCCTGGTCGTCTCGGAATACGGCGCCGGCAGTGTGGCGGGTCTCCGCGACCTCCCCGCCTTCATCTGGACGGAGGACTACCAGGCTGAGTTCCTGCGCCAGTACCACAAGGCGTTCGACAAGCTCATCAGCACGGAGACGTGGTTCGCTGGAGAGATGGTGTGGAACTTTGCCGACTTCGCCGTGCCGCGCGAGTACATCCGGCCGCAGTTCTGTATGAAGGGGATGTTCACCAGGGAGCGGAAGCCCAAGCTGGCCGCCTACGTCCTACGGGACCGCTACACTCGGCTGGCGGAGCTGGAGGCGGCCAGGTGGACCCCGAAGGCCTGATTTGCTCACTTGACAGCCTCCAGTGCCGTGCTTTGAATCATGGAAAGATTGATGCCCCGCACTGCGTGACGATGGCTTGATGTTATGATTCGTGTCGGGCGTGGTTTGTTTCTTCTTGCATGTGCTACAGGTGAAATAGTTGTCTTTGCTGAAAAAATTAAGGTTAAAAAATTAACGTTCGTCAAGGGTTTTGCTATTATGATGCAATTGCAAAGAGCCTAGATGCGACCAAGTGTTAACGGGTGTGAAAAATGAATTACGTTCCATTGTCTTTTATCCTTGGCGTTCTCTTCTCAACACTCATTCACATCCCTGCTGTAACCAAGGATGGAATGCAACTTATCGCAGTTTCGAAATCTACTTACAGATTGCAGAACAAGACCACAAGCACTTTATTCGATAATGGATAAATACAGCGGCACACACGACAACAAGACAATACCGTGATATGATGGCAGGCACAGTGTACGACAATCAAGCATAACGCGGCGGTCGGCGCCACCGAAAACCTGTGAGATGGAAACAAGACAATGTTGCATAGGGGCGCCTCAGGCGCACCGGCAGCGTTGCCATGACAACATGTCAGCTGTTGTCAACCAAACAGCGGTCTGTTCGCCAACAAGGCAGATCCACCGCTCACTGCGCCCCTGGGGGCAGTACAGCTTAAACGCAGCAATATCACAGAGCAGGAGTCGGGCGGCCCCGGGCAGCGGCGGGGCCGGGGGCGGGGGCGGCCGGTGCCCGGAGCACGCCACGACTCTGAGAGCGCCACACGGGCAGAACTGGCCTCCAGATCTCCTACAGACGGTCAGCCGAGACGGCCGAGGTCCGGGCGGAAGACGGGTCCTCGCAGAGCTCACCCGGCATCCTGGGGTCATATTGCACGTGCAGAGCGGGCGCGCGCTCGTCCTTCTACCTACCCACACACACATAGTCACTGAAACGGTACCTGAACACACCATCCGACGCCCAACATATCACAAGGGCAAAGTACGCGTTCCCGGGATAAAAACGAACGCGAGATTAACGGCGAGATGATAAACCTGAACACGCAGCATTGCACTGGCGGTCTCCGCATCTCCACCTGCTCTTCGCGACTGACTCTCTTCATGACTGATTCTCACATGACTGGCCGAGAGGTAGAGGACTGGCCGGCGGGAGGACCGGGGGCAGCTGAGGGGGTGATGGGGCTACTTGGGGTCGGCGCGCCGGTTCTGCGCCCGGTCCAGCCGGAGAAACTCCTCTTGGAGATAGCGCAGCGTCTTCATCAGTGACTCCTTCTCCTCGCGGAGGCCTTGTGCCTCGTCCTCTGCCTCCCGACACCTGAAAAGAAAGAGCGTGGAGAAGGTTACACATAACTCCAGCATAGACAGAGGGATAGGGCCACACGCCACTCCAACCTCCCGAGAGCTTGCACCCCGTTCTCTCGACACCTGAACGGACAGATGGCACTACCAAAAGACACCTGAACAGAGGGGAAGGGCAGCGGCTCAGATAGAGAGGGGGTGGTCACTGGTCCGACGAGGCCACAGTGACAGGGGATGGCTCCAGGTTAAAAGGTGGGCGGCGCGCACCAAGACACAATACATGCCGTCATTTTTACCAGAAGAACATCTGAATCAGCACACACTAAACCTACGGAAATAGTCGTCGACATAAAAAACTATTCCACTTCGGGCAACACCGATGACCTTGCCACTTCAGCTGACATCTTTGCATCCTCTCTGCGGTACGTTTTTTTTTTTCACGGCGACCAGGCAGAGGTCCCGCTCCCCATCTCCTTCCCGCGTCACCCACCTGGTTTCCATCAGCGACAGGTACTGTAGCCGCTCCTCGGCGCCCCGCCGCTGTTCCAGCTGGTTCTCCAGCAGCTGACAGCGCTGTCTCAGGCGGACCAGCTCACTGACCACCGCCGGCGGACAGCCTCCACCTCCACCTCCGCCGGGGTTGTTAAACGAACTGGTGACGTCGACTCGAGAGGCGGAGCTGCCGGCGTCACCAGGTCGACACGGGTTGCCTGTGGGCCGAGCAGGGAGGGTGGTTAGCGATGGGACAAAAGGCGCTCATGTTACAAGCACTGTCGACTCCCAGCACGTGAGGAATATGATAGCTTCGTGGGCGAATGAAATTTGGTTGGAAGTTATCGGTATTTAGGCAGAACACGAAGGTTAGCGATCGGTATTAATCGGTATGACGACAATTCCCAAAGCAGCACTTAGGTAGAACCCATGACACACCAGTGAACTGTGCTAGTCCAGCTGCGATCTAAACTGACCCGGTGGCAATGACTCGCCCCGACCCACCCTGTGACCCCTACTAACCTGCGTCCGCGGTCTGATGCACGGTGAATACGCCCTCCTTGTCCCTGGTGACCCTCAGCGAGGGGATGGACAGGTCGAGCGGCACCACGCCCGGGCTAGTGATGTTGTTCGGGGGCCGGTCCTCGGTCAGACGCACCTTCAGACGCTCAAGGTGCAGCTGAGGGGAGCAAGGGATCGTCAGAGGAACGAACAGCAATGGACTTACCCAGGCGCGGCGCCTCAGGTGCCACTAGTGGATCGTAGGGCGGCTGGAGTCGATGGTACACAGCAAGCGAAAGTTGGCCCAGCTAAATAGATCAAGTGAGCCCTGGGAGCTACCTCTTGTTACACGAGTTCGCATGATACAGCTGGGAGCAAAATAACGGTTAATCTTTTATTTTCCGATGTCTAATTAGCATATGCCTGAAACAAGTACTTGATAAATATACGCATAAGGTCGGACTAAAATTGTATGTGCGGGCTATCCACATGGGTGCATAGAACGGATAAGGACCATAACTTGACCAATACACGCCAGTTTCATTTCCAAACCAATCTCATACAACGCAACCCTCATGTGGACAAATCATCTGGACACATATCGCCCAGTGAACGGACCATTCTCTTCCACACCATCAGTGGCTGACTCCCGCCTAATAAGTGACCTCCATCGGCAACGGCACGGGCAGGACCTCGTCCTATAACTAGCTCCCACGGACAGGATCACGTCTAAACTAACCTCCATCGGCAGCGGCGCCGGCAGGATCTCGTCCTACAATTAACCTCACTAGTCACTAGGCACGGGCAGGATCTCGTCCTATAACTAACCTCACTAGGCAGCGGCGCGGACAGGACCTCGTCCTAACACGGGTAGGATCTCGTCCTACAACTCACCTCCATAGGCAGCGGCGCCGGCAGGATTTCGTCCTCGATGAAGTCGGTCAGGTTGGCGACGGTGCTCATCATCAGCCCCAGGTCCAGGTCGCTGGCCCGCACCTCGAGCTCGCTTTTCACCTGTTCCCGAACGTTGATCTGCCGCACAGGGGTAAGTACGGTGAGGCGTGAACAATCACAGACGATACAAAGTATGTACAGAGCTGAGCATCCGTTACAAGGCGGACCAGACACGGTCTAGCAGAAAAGATTGTAGGTGCGTGGCATTGCAACATCCATTATGCATCCACAATCGTACCCGAGCGAAAAGGCTTCACCGTGCCTAAGATTGCAGCGGAATGTTCAGAGAGTAGCCCCGATCAGTCAGCGAACCCAAATCATCGACCGTTGCTTGAACAATATTAATGAAAACGCATGACGACCGAGCCCTCGCACGTCATCCGCTAAAAGTAAATCAACTCAGCCCGAAGTTCAACAGTCTGCCTCTATTCCACAGCTAGCCCGCCCGACCCTGACCTTGTGGTGCCTCTGTCCGGCCACCGGTACAAACGTGCTGTCCATCCTCATTCGGATGTTACACGGCTCGGTGGCCACGTCCAGTCCCTGCCAGCCCTTGGTGCGCAGCTGGAACTTGGCCTATGGGGAGAGTGGAGAGAGCGATTAACTAGGTGAGACATAGGTGCAGCGAAGGAAGCAAACAAACGAAGCGAGCTCAGAAGCAAGTAAACCGGACACAGATATTACGCTACAACATCAAAATGAATTAATTGTTTATCAAAATTGCTCGTGTAGCTCGCACAACAAAAAGGTTATATGTAAAAACAACCATAGTTTTACCTAGGTCACGGTGCACGGGCTAAAAAGCCACGAATTATAATGGAGCCCCATCTGCACAGCAGAGTGCGACCACGCGCCATGCTGAACTTTGGCATGTCCTGTCTGACCTCCCGCATCAGGCCAATGTAACCTATATTGACGGCCAAGGACGTCTACCCCGACCGGCGGCACCGTGGTGCATCCCCTCACCTGGAACTCGTCCCAGCCGATTGCGGCGCACTGTTCGGCCGACAGATGTCGCAGCAGCACCTTCACCGAGCTGTCGAAACCGGCGCCCTGCTGCACAAACTCCACACGGCCCAGGCGCAGTGTCAGAGCCGAGATCTGTCGGAGAGGGACGGGGCTGTCAGAGCGCTGAGAGACGATATGAGGGACAGGCGCGTCAGAGCCGATATCTGCCGGAGAGGGATGGGCGGTCAGAGCGCTGAGAGACGCCATACAATAGTTACAGGGGGCTGGCGCAGCGTCAGGGCCGATATATGTAAGTACGTCGTCATGAGAAGGGACGGCACAGCCATGAGCCAGGGTACAGACAGTCGAAACATGGACAGATTAGACTCACTCACAGCCCTTACGCGTGGGACAGTTTGTGTCAGAAAATGGTTGGATTCTCAAACCACGAAGCAACTTGGCCATAGTTTCTCAGTATGTACCTTGCGTCATTAAATGAAGGATCATGACGTTTTCACCATTTGTTCTTATAGTTCACACATAAGAGGTAGTTTACTGGTACCATCAGACGCACAATGAAATGGCAAAACTGAAAATACCAAACACTACATCGTTCGCCGCCATACGAAGCATAGCAGTTCATTAGAGGAGATGCTCAAGATGAGATCCACCACACTGCGTAATCATTGGTAGCCTGACTTGCTGCAGGTTTCGGCGCCGGGTATATGGATCGAACAGACCCTCGTTAGTCGTTACCACTGAGGCCCCCCAATGACATCAGACTGCTAGAGCCGGTGGGAGTAGGTTGAAGTGCACTCACCACATCCCGTTTCCGCATAGCCGAGGAGAGCGACACCTCGCTATGGGTGTCCTCGGTGACTTCGCTGGCGATCTCGACTGAGGGCACCCGCTTCAGCGCCCCCTCGACCACAAATAACGGGTCCACGGACTCTGTAAAGGGTCATAGAGAAGTCAGAAGCAGACACCAAACACAAAAAGGGAGCCTCCACAACAAACAGCGGGTCCACCGACTCTGTGGGGGAGCAAGGGCGTCAAGTAGAGGAAACTCTAAAATGAAACATAACAACGAGAAGATAGCAACATGGTTCCAAATACTTTTGCATGACAGTAAACTTTCGGCCAATTTACAGCTACAGAGGAATAACAAAGTTCGCACATGATATAACTTCTCTGCAAGTTCACATATCACACGAACCCACCCCCAAAAGCAACACAACACCGACCACTGTCACAACATAACTGACCTGATCCGGCCCTGTCCATCTCCAGATTGAGCAGCACGTAGCTATCGGAGTCAGAGCTCATATCCGACATCACAGACATCGTGTCGCTCTGATCATCCGGGCTCTTCAGCGCCGAGTCGATGGACGAGAGGAAGCTGTTGAAGCCCTTCTTCACCTGGCTGAAGCCGGCGCCGAGATCGGAGAGCTGGCCGACTGGTGAGCTGCCGGCAGCCACGCTCGCCTGACTGATGAGCGTCATCGGCACGGTGCGGTTGCGCGGCGGCGTGGCGTTCGGTGTGCCCGTCGTCGGTCGCACGTGGTTGGTCGAGTTGTGTGAGTTGTGACCGGTGTGGTTGGCTGACGGGGAGGTGCCCATGATTCCGGCGACGGCCGGGGAGGGGGCGGAGAGCGGCGGCTCGTCAGGCGGGAGGGTGATGGAACCCGTCACCTCAGTCAGCGAGTCGACCCGCATCTGCATCAGCGACGCCTCCTGAAAGCTGGTGACACTGGACGAGTCGGGGAACACGGACAGGTCGCCGCCCGACGAGTCCTTGCTGGAGAGCAGGCAGGGCATCAGCAGGCTGACGTCCACCTGCGGCAGCGCGCCGCTGACGCAGACGCTGCCGGAGCCGGCGGCGCCCAGCAGCCGCTCGGCGTCCATCGTCAGAAAGGCCGACATCTCCGTCAGCCGCTCCAGCTGTCGCAGCAGGAACAGGTACTGGAAGTGGTTCAGCTGCACCGACACCAGGCTCGGCACGTGCAGCAGCGCGCTCTGTTCGGCCACGCGGCCCTCGCGCGCGCTGGCCACCTTGTTACGGTTCTGGTACACCCAGACCGACACAGGGATGGCGTCCACCAGCGGTACCGGCCGGTGGCGCACCGCTGAGGTGCCGTAAAAGTCGGCCCAGAACGGGTCCATGTGCAGGAAGAGCACGTCACGCGGCTCCTCCCAGAGCAGGTCGGAGGGCAGGCCGTGGCGGAAGTCGGCCACAGAGGCCACCACGTCGGCCGGACAGGGCTGCACGTGGTCCTTTCCTGCGGGGAGGGAGAGAGCTGGTCAGAAGGCGCCGCGGGACCGCGAGTAGTAAAGTAATCTTGGGCGCCGCGGTGTGGAGACGGGTGCAGTAGTCAATTTATCAACCGCTAGATGTCAGGACGATCGTGCAGCGCACGCAAGAGCAGCTATGATGAAGGTCCCGGCAACAGCCCGGAACAACTGCAGAGACACGACAAACAGGACCGAGACGGTAAACAGTGAAACAATCACATTAGAATCAAGTGTTTGTTGACGCTTCTTGGGAACTTGTTGGGAGCCAGACAGCGTAAACAGGTTAAACTAACTTGGGCCGTATGAGCGAGCTAAACAAATACACGAGGCGATGCGTTCTTATCGCTTTATTGCAGACGATGGAAGATGGGAAACACCAGTTTGACAGAAGTTTCTTTCCGTTAAAAATACCGTAGAACATCAGAGTAGGTTACAGCTAGGGCCATTTGGAATTGACACTGACGAGCGAAGTTGAGAGGCCAAACCAAGTTAATATTCACTTTCCAGACACGTTATTACGCCTATATTTTCCCACGCCGACCATTAATATACAGCCGGGCCTATGAATAACTAACGATCAAAGTTGGTCTTATTTCATCGCCGGCGCTCTATCAAAAGCGATAGCACGGTGAACTAATCTTCGTTCCTTTTCAGCGCCGCTCGCGCATTACACTGGGTGTCTATCATGATAGTGAATAGGTGGAAAGCCGACAGGCTAGGGCCGGCTAGCCTGTCGTCCTCGGGTGTCTTCTTGACAGGGTGGCCGGCTAGGGCTGAGCGTTTTAGGACAGAACAACCGGTGGACGGTACGACAGAGGATCGGCAGGCTCAGTGTGAGACAAGCTCACGGGAAAGCTATCGCTGATGGACTATGTGTGGCATCATGAGACAGTTACAATGAACCCAGGCTACCCAGCAAATGACAAATATAAAACGAATGAAGCGAAAACACACGGGTACGGTACAAGGGCATAAAGGAAAGACGCAGTTCAACGGAGGGTGATTGGAGAGTTACTGTTGGCAAACGTTAACACATCGTTGATTCATCGCTCACCGATCGGACTGGGACACCTCACCAAAATACCACCACTCGGCTGACCAACCAGCCGTGTCAGTGCCACTAGTGACAGTGACGGTGGTGCTCCTTACCTAACGTGTGCTGCACCAGCCGGTCGGGCACCATCTGGAAGTCTGAGTCTCGCGCCGGGAACTCTGAGCCGAACGCCATCTCGCCGGCCTGCAGCCGCTCCAGACAGGTGGTCAGACCGGCCAGAGACCTGCGTGGAATAAATAGCAAATAATCAGTACCAAGTGAGGGTAAACTCTGCTATCTGGCCTGCAGCCGCTCCAGACAGGTGGTCAGACCGGCCAGAGACCTGCGTGGAACGAATAGCGAACAATCAGTACCAAGTGAGGGTAAACTCTGCTGAACACCAGTTCACCGGCCTGCAGCCGCTCCAGACAGGTGGTCAGGCCGGCCAGAGACCTGAGTGGGCCGACCACGGACCAGTGAACGCGTGAGAGCGAACTCGGGGCGACTCATTCATGGCAGCTCGAATTGGTTAAAAGATACGGAGTTATGGGAACAGTGCTGGGTGTAATTACGAGCGAGCGAGCGCAGCGAGCGAAGCGAAGTCTTTTCAATATAACGGAAAAATCTCAGTATGAGCGGCCCGGCCTGTAACGCTTTTGAGAGGCTTATATCTCAGCAACCGCTGGACCGACTGGCCTGCGGTCTTTTTTGCTGGGTAGCCCCATCCCTTCTACCCCGTAATTGACTACTTCTGATACATCTCAGTGACCGTCGTGGCACGTGCCACGTGAAAAGTCAAGGGTGTTCAAGCAGTTTTGCAAAAGTAGTGATTTTGAGAGGCCCATATCTCAGCAGCGGCATGAGCGATTGTCTTGCGGTAATTTGTATAGGGTAGCTGCATCCCTTCTACCAAAGGTCGGATACTCTTGATCTATGTGAGTGACCCCCACTGCACGTGCAAAATACAAAAAGAAGAGGTGCCAAATTTGTTCCCATTTCAGTAACTCAGTAATTACTGGGGCGATTTCGCTGAAACTTGGCATAAAGGTAGGCACCCACCAGGCAATGCATTCCCATGTGTTGCGGTTAGGGTGCTACTGCACGTGCGCACGTGCAGGGGGCGTTTCCAGATCTCGAGAACGGCTGGGCCGATTGCGCTCAAATTTGGTACACGGTTGGGGACCGGTTAGTAGGGTCCCGTGCAAAAGTCATTTTGGACCCCGTTTGCACGTGCGCACGTGCAGAATGCCGCTTCCAGATCTCAGGAACGGCTGGGCCGATTGCGTTCAAATTTGGCACACCGCTAGCGACCGGTTAGAAGGGTGCTTTGCACAAGCCCGTTGGAAGTACCCTCTCGCAATTCCGCACGTGCAGGGCTCACTATCTGGCTCGCTCGTTCTTCGCCCAAAAGGCGTTTTACTGGTATTTACAGTAAGACTACCAAATGTTCAACGATGTTCTGGCCTCTGGGCGAAACGCAACCCCGAAATACCTTGAAAATTAAAAAAAAACCCTCTAAGTCCTGTCGCCTCTTTTAACCCACCCCGGCGCGGTGGGGTCTGGCGACCGGTAGTTGCAGATCAGCAGTCGCGTGGTCTGCATGTGCAGCGTGCTGGGCCGGTCCCTCTGGAGCGGGTAGTCCTGCGCCGTCTCCAGCACCAGTCTCGGCATGATGGCCTCCAGCCGCAGGTCCAGGTAGGGCGGCGACGCCGAGCCGCCCGAGGCCGTCAGCGACTTGGTCAGGTTGCAGGCGAACGCGTTCAGCCAGAGAACGGTGACCGGGTCGACAATCACTTGCACCGGGTTCACGTGCACCATCGCCTTCGGGGGCGGCACTGAAAAACAGACACGGACACATGTCAGAGGGAGGGGAGTTAGAATCATCTGGATAAGAAATTAAACCAGGCACCGGGGAATCCAAACCATGTGGATGGACAGCTGCAGTCGGAGGAACGCATGGTGGAATTTGGAAGGGGACGTGCGTGATGAGAGGGCCAATAAGTAAAAATGGGTTAAAGGACCAAAACAAACCATTCAGCCCATGGTGTACCTACAATGTGCATATATTTGATGTTTGTTTGGCATGGTTCATGACATCTTAAGAGAATCATTGGGCTGATTGCGGTTTCGGAAGACCTAGTTCGAGTTAAATATAACGATTGACCTAATGCTATTACCGAGACGGTGACGGTGACGAACGAGACTGTTAGTTGTTATTCATGGTTACAGAACCTCTTTGGGTGTGTATTCACCATTCTTCTATTCGACATGGACTGCATGGGTCACCATAATAATTATAGTATTTGATGCTAAACGACGCTTCAAAAATTAATATTTTATGGGCGCAAAATGAAATTTGCAGTCGTTAAACAAACAACAAACAAAAATTATTATTTAAGACACATGGCAGGATTACATTGCATCTGCAAAGTCTTAATTTTCTACCAACAAGCCGTTATCATGCATGAATATATGATGCAGACAAAAGCCGTTCCCAAAATAACTACTGTATGGTGCGAACGAATGTAAAACACGTACGGAATTTCTTTGGGGAATTCTCTAATAGCTACTCTACTAGCTGAGAACACCATACCAACCATACAGAAGGGGATGAGATTCCACCCCAGTCACTCCCATCATTTGGTGGCACCAAGGCCCTAAAACATAGGTGGCACGAACTAACGTCCAGTTGACAGCAGACACAAATACTCTCTTTCCTCGTTTGGAGCACCCCGTTTGACGACGAAAAAGTGTTTTCAGCGCGTCAGACTGTCTCACGGTTCCCTCTGTGCTTCAGACGACATAGTTTGTGAGCTGTTGGCTGTAGTTTGTTAGTTTCAGCACGGCCGAAATCAAACCAATAAGACGGCCCGGAGCAGCGGATCACTGTGAGTTTGTGATTAACGACTCCAGCCCAGCAGCGCTATTACGCCGAGAGGGCAAAGTTCAATTGAGGCGTTACTGGGAAAGAGCTGCCAACCGCAGACCATTTTTGTTAAATGCTGACCGATATTACACCGCAAGGCAAGACTGGTTCCAAAGACTGATGTTATGGTTTTAGAAAAGCCCCCGAGAATAATACAGGAACATTGCGAACAACAGGAATGCAACACTCTATTCTAGTTCGCTGAAAGGAAATGATAAAACCGGTCTCAGTAAACATAGTCGCCTCGCTGCTCACATTATCCCCAACGGAAGACTGCGAGATTTTGCTTTGTGCCATCCCTCCTCCCTCTGCCCTCTCTCTCTCTCTCTCTCCCTCTCTCTCTCTCTCTCTCTCTCTCTCTCTCTCTCTCTCTCTCTCTCTCTCTCGTTCCACTCCCTCTCTCCTCTCCAAATAAGTGTTTGGTGAGAAAACTTGCTCGCGGATGACCCCGCCACTGCATACTGATGTAAACTGACAGAGCGTTCCAGACGCAGCCTAGGCGATCGAAGAAACATCGTCCACTCGACGTGAGAAATATCGCTGGTCGTGGACGACTCACTAGCGGACACGCCCAAAAGCAGACGTGACAAATGGTGAACAGAAAACTGAAGTGACCAAGTGCCTCAGAGCACCACAATACCGCACGCTGAGGGGCTTGTTGTCAAACAGTTGAATGCGTGACTACATATGTTGAATACATGAATAATCGAAGTTTTGTTGTCAATAGTTAAATCACTATTTGTTAGAATTGTGTTTTTCTATTGAAAAACAAATCTGAGTTCCCTGACAATTTTGCATATGTTGGAGACGGTGCAAACTGCAAATGGTGTCGAGCAGGAACTGTTTAATAAAGTAAGAAGACCGCAGTCAGCGAAAGACCTCCAATAATGGTCTTCCGTTGACAATAAAAGGTCTCCTTCCATAAAAATGCACCGCAAACATGCAAAACACTACTATTTCAGTCTCTTCCCTCTCGTTCTTCTCTTCTTCCCTCTCCAACGTTCCCCTACCACTCACCTGGAAATCGCACATTGCCCGGGTAGTAGAAATACGTCATCTCCACGTGCACGCTGGACGACTGGCCCGGCACGCTCGTCCTCTCTCGGTCCCCTGTCGGCCGGCCGGACGGCGGTCAGTCCACGCGGCACGTCGGTCGTACGAGGGGCGCTGGACCGGCACATGGGGTGGTTTATTCTGGGGACTGACAGTCACGTATGTAGGGGCACCGGGACAGAGGGAAAGAGGGCAAGAAGGTAGAGAGGCGGCAATCGAGCTAGGGTCTTGGTAGCACCAGTGGGCGTGGTCGGGAAGGGAACCTGAGTGGGCGAAACACGATATATCAGTGATGCCAACTCTGGAATTATGCAGCAGCTGCTGCCGTGCAGAGTGTGGAAATGTCAGTCGGCGACCGGCACTGGACTGCGCCTCTCCCCGTTAGGCCCCTCCGCTCGGTCTGATGGAGGTTCGGACGCGTTCTTCGTCTCCGTGAGGTCGTAGCCAGGCGGCCAAGTGCTCCATTCGGGACGGATTTTCTCGGCCGTGTCCGGCGGCGAGCGGCCGGGCGTGGTTTAATGACGAGTTGCCGGGCGCGCCGCGGCTTCAATCCGCTCTCAGAGCAGCCGGACGGACATTTGTGAGAAGGATGAGGCGGCCAGGTGCTGTGGAAACGCTAAAATGAGAGGATGACGAGTTCTCAGGAAGGCTTAAGTAAAGGTGTCTCGCGAGGTAAGAGGACTGGCGAGAGAATAAGCAGTGAGCTTGTTGTTAACAAGAAGGGAAATTCATAGAACGGAATATCTTTAAAGGCTCCCACTAACAGGGTTACAAAGGCTTCCAAACCAGCTTTTACAGGATAATACACTAAAAAGATACAGAACGGCGTCCAGAATACTCGAAGGAATGCTTTATTAAACTTGATCAAGTGCAATGTAATACGCTCTAGTACTTATCGAAGCTACTCATCTCATAGCATAATCACTATCACAAACATCGGTGATTCTATGCGACTTTCCTATCTATATATTCTACACTAGCTACTGAGCATCTAGACTAATCACTAAACCTCTGCTATGGCATCTATGCATGCTACAGTTAGCATGCGAAATCCGTTAATTTGCAGCGTAACTGGTTACGTTGCAAACTAACGGACTTCGCAAGCTAACTGTAACATCTAATTCTACATGCGTCTATATCTTGCTTTCCGCCACAGACCACAATCCAAATCCCCTTGAAGAGAACTGTCTGTGTGCCATTTCCATGAGCACATTTTCTCCCGGGGACGCGTCTGACACACCGCACTCCTCCCCCTGATCCCACTCGTGCCACAAATTGGATCACTGTGCGCCGGGGAGGCGGCGAGTTGGTGTGGCCAGGCTGACACCACACCACCGCAGCGCACAGTGGCCGTCCCGCTCGGTCGATCCACGCGCAGTGACCGGTGGACAGAGTTATAGCCCGGCCAGGCCAGCCTCTCACGGGGTGGACGGAGATGGATAGAGCCTCTCAGGCCGGTGTGTCCAATGCACGCGCACAGAAGCGCCTACTTGCTGAGGGAACACGGACCGCACGCCAGGGACCAGTTCCAAACCCAGCCACAGGAGCAGACCTGACCCTCGCTGAGGGGGAATCTTACGCCACCCTCAGTTCTTTTTTACGAATAGTGACACCCAATGACGGTCCACGTATGAACCGACAGACCACCGATATTTGAGTCGCATGATCACACGGATCGATGCGAAGGAACGTGGTGTGGTGGTGACCCGCCAATGGCACATATCCGGCACACCAGACAGCCAAGACGGTACACTTGATCTAATCGAACCGGCCATCTGGCAAAGGAAACACAATGGCATGTGACACCGGACGAAATGAGACAGCCATCCGTCTGTCTGTCACCTGTTACTGGACTGACACCTGACACAAGTTGCTAGTGTCAGAGCCTCGTTCGTCTGCCAACAGCCACCAAAACACCACTCTGCTTCACACTCAGAATGTGGCACAGTTTTCCCGTCCATCCAACTGAGCTGATCTACCATCACCCAGACAATGGCAGCCACACAGTCTGGCCGGGCGTTCTCCGAACCCGATAATACCGCCGTCGGGGGGTATGTAACTAATGTCGTTAGCTCCACCAATTATCACTAAGTCGGACAAACGGTCTTGGCAAGCTCAGCGTCATTAGTAAAGTGGCCATGTTGAGCGCCGCGACCAGTGTGGCCTGTGCCAGTATTTCGGGCCGGGAGCGTGACCAAGGTGTCGAAAGTTTCTGAGCGGCTTTGGACGACGGCTAAACGGAGCCCGAATCAGCGCGGACATTACGGAACAGTTGGAGATCTCGGAGCCGTGCTGACGACGAGAGAACGACAGCTATTGGACGGCCACTAGCGCGGGTTGGACAGTTACGGAGAAGTAGCTCGGTCGCCGAGGTACGGGGCTGTGGTAGTTAGTGGAAATGGCTCACATTTGACATGCCATTTCCAACTGATAAAACAATCTTGCAGCGTTCTTCAAAAGCCGCAGTGTTTTCGGGAAAAATCTCTTTCCTTTTCTTTCAGCAAAGAACAAGCCAGTGAAGGGAAGAAGTAAAAATATCCCTACTGTTGAAATAATATCAAAGTAAAGCTATCTCTTCTATCCAAAAACCATCCTTGAAACGGACAAACGGAACAGAGCTCTGAAAATAGATCATCGTGTAAGAGAACAGTCAAGACGTACATGGAAAATTGAAATGATCCTTTTGGATTCAACGGGTTCGGGAAAGTCGCCGGTGAAGGAATCCGGATCTGAAAAACGAGATAGACAATTACAGTGTTGTTATCAAGGGGGGCTTCAACTTTAGACATCCCTGAGAGGAAACCGGTATCAGGCAGAACAGAAACACACTATTGGAGAAAACGTCATCTACCATGAGTATGCAGAAATAAATACAATACAAACTCATGAGAAACAATCCATTACTGTGAGAAGATAGTGTACTTTCACTTCAAACTGTTGACCTGATAGTACGTAGCGCAGGACCAGCGTGGACTGGGGGACAGCGCACACTGCACAGACACGATCGGTACGGAACCACTGGCATACGGGCCCTGCTCTAGGTAATGTGCTAATACCGAATGGCACTTGCCTACCGCAAAACGCAGCGCTGGCGAGCAGGTTGGGTCACGGTGGTCCGGTAAAGGGGCCAGAGAGAGGAGAGGAAGGATTGGGACAGAGCGAGAGAATTGTCAGCATTAGAACAACGCTGGCTGACGTATGTCTTTAGCGGGTGAATGGTATGGTAAGACTGGCCAGATAATTAGGGCATTAGAGCAGGAATAATATTCTGGCATTTGACACAGTCAACCGGTATGCCTCATGAACTGCGGAACACCGGACTGCGCTGTTTTTGAAGCATCTCATGGATGAGTATAGGACATCTAGTGAGATTCGGGAGAGGTCGGGTCGGCCGGGGTTGGCAGGTCGCTAGCAAGAGATACACCACCACATCACCAGACAGGCAGAAAGAATAGAAGCCTCGGTCCGTGCCTCCGCCGCCGCCGCCGCCGCCCCGCTCTAACCGAGTCCGGCCGAGGTAAGAAACAGCAAAGAGGGTTCGTCTGCGTGAACCCCCACCCATTGTCGATAGTTCAGACACAAATAGAAAAATATGGGCCACCAAAGCCTCAGAGGGAGACGGCAGGGGGCGGCGGCGGAGACCGCGCGTGGGCGGGGGCGGCGCTGCGTCAGGCTGGCAAACGCTACACAACTAGAGAAAGCGCGGCTGCAAGCTTGTGCAAACGACAACGGCCATGTTACGTGGAGAGCAGAAGATTAGGTTAGAAGGCCGCGGTCCCAGACTTCTCTTGGCGCGTCTTCCTGAAAGGCAGATGGGTGCGCTGTGACTACAGGGTGGTGGTGAGAGGGGGCATGCAGCACCCCGCCCACCCCACCCCAACTACACCCGCCCAACGGTCCACTGGGGCACCAGGACGCCGGCTAGATCTACGAAAAACAGCGCCTAACCCAGCTGGTAACATAACCAGCTTTTGTCGTAAGTTTAATTTACAGTTAGCGTATTTAGAGAGAAGCAGCCTTTTGCGTCTTACGAAAATGAGTTAACTTGATTTGCAGGGAACATTTATCACAGTTGAAAAGACTTGGTCCATTAACAAGCGCGCCATTTACTTCAAGCTTCCTCCCGAGGGCATATTCAATTTCATTCCGTCTTCGCTCGAATGGGCGACCGTTGCATGTTACAAGCAGATGAAATGTTAATAAGCTAAGTAATTCTGGCATATGTCCGAGTTACATTACTGAACTGCCATTCCGTCTTCGAGTCCAAATGCAATATCAGCTTGAGATTTGCTCAGTACATTGGGTACCGAGAGCATGCATCATTCAAACTATAACTTTCCGGCAACTATGAATTCGATTAAAATTTCACAATGTTTTAAATCAATATGGCCACCAGTGATGTAAAGATCACTCAGTTTCACAAATGGCATCTTCCAGCATGGCCTTCCCTATAGCTCCCCCTTCATGTTCCCCAATACAAAAACACACACGCGCACACACACACACGCAAAACGCCAGGCGGATCCGGAGCTGGCAGAGCCGGTACACGGACGCGCACACGCAGACAGATAGAGAGAGGGGCAGAGACAGCGCCGGAGTCGGTGTCAGAGAGAGAGAGAGAGACAGTGAGAACTGCGGCGGACAGGCGGACATTCTGTGCCATCCACGGGGCGCGGCGCCGGCCGGCCGGCGGGCACTCACCCATGACAAACTCCTTCAGCACCGTCTTCCGCTGTGAGGTGGACACGCGGTAGATGACGAAGTCGTTGATGCGCACCACCAGCGCGGCCGACATGAGCTTCCGCAGCTGGTTCATGACGAAGGAGCGGTGGGGTGACGGCGGGGGCGGACCTGCCGCCGGCCCGGCCGCCGCGCCGCCGCCGCCGCCGCCGCCCGCCGCGGGTGACTGACGGAGCGGAGGGAACTGGGGTCAGAGCGACGGCAGAACAATACAGAGACCATACCGAGACGTACGAGACTTACTAAGAGACCGCTGAAGTATATCATGGTACCGAACATAATTGAGGTTGAAGGAAGATAGGAACAAACAATGTTACTTTCAAATGGTGGATAAGGCAAATAATAGCCAAACCAAATAGCATAGATTAGAAATGCTCTAGCCATTCATGGTGTAGATACAAATGTTATGAACGGGTAAAGGCTGACGCTTGCAAAGTCAAATTCAAACATATGTTGTGATTCACACATTTTTCAACAGTTTCAGCAAAGCGTCTATGCACTGAATAAACGACACCCGAAACGCTCGGCTTTGAAATATCTCGATTGCTTGAAGCACCATCATTCATATCAAATCAACAGGAATTATTCAAGACTAGAACCCTACACGAAGTCTACAATTGAGACTGAGAGCACTGAATTTCAACCACCACGTAACTGAAACACTTATTTAAGTCCTCCATATTCAAACGCTCTCCGGCAAACGAATAGGATCGGCGAAATTGAGTTCATTCATTCAGGGAATGGCCTGCTCAGACTCGACATTGACCAACAAAGCCTCATATGGTACTGATTGAATAACCAGGTACAGCCCACTTCAATTGAAATGAATCAGGCTTAGGTAAAACCACACCAGCCAGCAGAGACAAATTGAAAGTAAAATACACTTATGCTAAAATTAGGAAAGACTTTATTGCAATGACGCTTCCTGTCAGCGCGTTTTATGCATGCGTGCACCAACGCAGTAACTACGCGCATCGCACGTTTTTCACATTTTTATTTAAACCCATCTTACTCCAACACTACCCACCGCGTTATTGAGGTGTGGCGGCGCGCGGTCCAGTTATCTACCCACCGTGTTATTGAGGTGTGGCGGCGCGCGCGCCAGCCGGGTGTGGTGCGGCCCGCCGTTGAGCAGAAGCGACGTCAGCCGAGAGCGGAACTCGCTGAGCGCCTGATCCAGCCACTGGGCCGGGATCGACTCGCCGTAGCGCACCCAGTGGCGCCGGTCGCCGTACGCCAGGTGGTACGGGTAGTAGTCGAGCTCGAGCTGTTTGAACGTCACCTGCAGCGCGCCGCCGGCCTCCAGCTCCGGCGCGCACGAGCGGCCCTCTGTGGGAACAGAGAGAGGGGGTTAGTGAAGTGGCGAGAGTATTGGAGGAGGGTAGGGGCACCGAACAGTGCGCCGCTGGTACACCGGCCTCCAGCTCCGGCGCGCACGAGCGGCCCTCTGCGGAGCGGAGGGATGGGGTTAGTGGACTGGTAGGGACACTGGGGGAAGGTAAGGGCACCGATAGAACGGCGTACTCCGGTCCAACGGCCTCAAGCTCCGGCGCGCACGACCGGCCCTTTGTGAAGCGGAGGGAGAAAGGGTTAGCAAAAATATGAGCAGCCCAGGGGTGGAGTGATTCGGATGGTACTTCATAGGTCAAAACTTCGCAATCTAGCCCTCCATGGATTGGCTGGATGGTCCTCTGAGGGTCTGGAAGTCCTCTGAGTGGAAAGGGCTGGAAGATCTTCCGTAACTGTCTTGGTCCGACGTCTCGTTAGATGATTGCATCACTCGAACCCGCAGGTCGTTTACAACTTTTGGAACGCCTCAACGGCAACATCTATACATACACCGTTTATAACACTGCAACTCTTGTCGATCACAAATCGAATGACGACAGGTAACGTCGTTATCGACCTATATAATGGCGTCTCGGGAAGAGAGGAAATCTAATCTGTGTCGGACCAGATACGGGAACCGACTAACCCAATCACAGGTCAGACAGTGGATGTGAGATCACATCTATGATACGGCCGGTGTCGCAGCTCTCTGATCTTGTGCAGCTCAGAAAGACCGGTAAACAATGCCAAACGTGACTCCCAAAATAAAATCTGTGGTTGGGATTCACATGCTCCCACTAAACACTGCAGCCAAACTTTAGCCAGTTTGCTCCGTTTTCTTCTTTGGTTATCATTTTAACACAGAGGTGTCAAAAAGCTTGATTCAGTCTGCAAAGTCAGCATATTAACACCACCCTGCATTTATTGTTGACTACGCCCAGACCAGTTCAAAGCCCCACAAGGTAAACTCTGGCGCCTGGCCAGCCGCCGGCGAGACAGCAGTTTTCCAGCTATCAGTGGAATTTAGTCCCAGACAGCTATGGCGTAGTGTCTGCTGGGTCGGTGGGGCGCGACTCGGCTCCAGGCTCACCGCAGTGCGGGGAGAAGGAGCGGGAGCGTTATCGTCGTCTGACATTTGGTGCACACGGTGAAAACGGCAACAGGCGACGAATTGATGGGGAGAGGAGATAAGAGGAAAGGAGAGGTGAAGCAGATAGGAGAGAAAAGACAACGGGAGAGCTGGAGCGGATACGAAAGGAAAGGAGAAGAGATGAGCAGAGAGAAGAGGAAAGAAGGAGAGGGGAGAAAGGAGGAGAGGAGTGGAGAGCAGAGAGGAACAAAGGGGAAATAAAGAACAAGGGGACTAACCAGAGGGACAGACAGCAGATGAGCGTGTATAAGCAATGACCATGGACAGCAGCATAAGACGGGTTCACAGATGAGAAAAACGGTATGTCTTTTCCTCCACAGAGGACCAATACAGACAAAATGCTGTGGCATGTCTGCTTCTGCAAAAAAAAAAAAAATAAAGAAAAGGGAAACCAACTAAAATTCACTGCAACACACAGTTTCATAAATGAGAAAGTGCTTGTCATATGCAATGAAATTATGGGCAGTAAGGTTCATTTACGTGGGCAGCTGAGCCGCATTTTCATAAGCTAACTGAGAACAGCACCGGGAATAAATAATAAACAAAGCACAGTTCTCATTATCAACAGCCTTGTGAGCTGTTGCAAAGCAAGGCCTTTTCTGGATTTAAGAAAAGCTGTTTCCAGAAAACGTTCCGTGACATTTCGTAGAGCCACATTTTCCCTCATCAGCATAATTTCATCAGCATAATTCATTTTGACGTGCACAAAATTGCTTGTAATGTAATGCTCAGACCTCAGTGCTTCTGGACATGCTAGAGTTAAAAAAGGTGGTTTACTTCAACCAAATCAAATCAAAAGCTGCTGGTCTTTTCCATTAAAAAATATAATATAGGTCGGTCGTCACTGACCTCCCGGGTCGTCGCAGAGGTGCAGGTCGATTCTGTCCGAGTAGAGGTGGTACGACGTCTCGACCACGTCGTACTTGGCAAAGACTCGCGACAGCGCCGTGTTGCCCTGACTGCGGCGGGTCGACTGGTTCTGCTGTGCCTGGTACTCGGGCAGACTCTGCCGAGGGAGAGAGAGCAGGCGGTCAGGAACGGTCACAGGGGGCTACTGCGGGCAACAAGGGTCCTGGGAATGAGAAAGGGGCTGCTGTTTATGCTGTAATTGAGAAACTTCTAACGACATAGCTTCTGACACCTTCAAACACTATCACTCAGGGTCATTCCATGCATCGGCGCTGACTATCACAAAACGACTCCATACAGGCTGGCAGCTCGAGATGGGGGAAAACAGATGGCATCACAGCGCAACAGGGTCACATCAGGTCATTCACAGTACCTACACCGGGCCACCTGGATCAGTAATAACGCGTTACACTGCCACGGCAGAGATCAGCGCATCACCGATGGATCACCGGCAAATGCCACTGGATTAGGCCGGCTCAGTGTACGACGCCCAAGCGAGGTTTAGTCACTGCCACTGCCGTACCCTGAGCTTAATTACGACTACGCACGTCAGAGCAGCAGCCCCGCTACGGTGCCCACTCTCAGACGTGCCTTCTGCCATATTGCAGACGGGTTCAGCCCGCGGGGCTCAGCCTGCAGCTATCCATATGCAGATTGAATGTGCATCTGAACAGGCCGTTTGGATATTCATCGCATCACGCCCGTGCCACCGAGTTCAGACTGCTGCCGGCAGCCGGTGGCGTCTCTCCCGTGGACGACTGACACCCGCTCATCACCGATAGAGGGTCGAACGACAGCCGAGGGAGGGGCGCGCGCCGCGCCTACGACGGCCCATGACACCCCGAGGCACCCTACAGACCGGCGAGCCCGTCAAAATGATTGACCTTTCCGCGGAACGACCAAGCCGTGAGCTGGCGAGCGCTGAATGAGAGTTCCGCTCGCATAAATGCAAACTAAAGCGACTACATTGGCTCCCTAAAATGCCCTGCACGTTGAGGCGACGACTTCGGCCGTCAAGCAATGGCAGCAGAGAATGATAATTTATAGCTTAATGGATCAACTAACTTATTAGTTACGTTAGTTACGACTTATTGACTTTTCGCTGAGTGCGTGACTCATAAGAAGGATCCACGAGTCCCACCACGTACTAAGGGCTAAGTAGAAGACGGCATGGGCGTGAGTGTCTAAATCCTGTACAGTGTACAGGGTGTCTCAAAAGTTCGCTTACACATTTCCCATGTCAATAAAGCATATAAGAACCGGCCAAAAATCTAAGGTTTTGGTGTCCATGTGTACACTAGACAAATATGCATGCTTTGACAACTGATTCGGAAGGTTGGAAACCAAACCCTTTGCTGTATCTCCAAAAATATTTGCCCATACCGATTTTAGTCACTCCGTCAGCTGCCGGAGGCTGATAAAAGGTTACCAGCTTTCAAGCTCTTGTAGGGGAATCCCCCGCAGTTTCTGCGTCGGATTTAGGTTTGACGAGCTCCCCGGCAACATCCGCTTCTCCCTGAAAGCCGATAGCTTGCATCGACACCATCCGTGAGTATTTTGTAGGTCTTCTCTGGCGCTAACTCCTTCATGAATGACTGGCGCCGACCTCCCAAGCACCATTTTCCTTTTCAAAACAACCCCATTCCTGAACAAATGGGAAGTGCCAGGGGCAAATTTTTCGCAGCATATCGTAGCAGAATGTGTCGGCTATCTGTTTCTTAGACACATTTTGCAAAATTTGCAAATCCCGAACGCTCGTCATTCCCAATGCCAAGACCTTCGCTGGGTTCCGGAGTGTTTTCCTCAGGAGAGATTCTGCTTTGTAAACGGCCAAAACCTGTCCATCGTGCGGTTTTGTCCGGATTTTGTGTGTAAAAGAAAGCTATTTGCTCCAGATCTGCCTCTTGAAACTTCGTTAGATAAAACTTTACATTAATTGACACTTTTGGAGGGTCACTTGTCCTCGGCATTGACGATTTTCGCATTATTTTCCCTCAAAATTTAGCGTTATAGATATTATAAACAATTTTAAATGATATTTTGTCTTTATTTTATGATGACCTGCAATTTTTGAAACTGGGTAACCTCTGTCTGTGAGCTTCTATTCAGTTTTCAATAGTTAGGACTGCATTTTCAGCTGCTTTCCGGAGCACGAGTCTGCTGCGGTACAAGGGTCGTTCAAAGCGCTGTTAGTCTCGCATGGTTTTGTCCTTCAAAAATTTTAGCCACCGTTTTTATTAGATGACCATCATGTTGTACTCATCCTCGCCGACACTTTGCCATGTGTCATTTCCGACCTAACCATTCCCATTACTCGTGAAGCAGAGAGTTTCTCAGCCGACCCGAGTATGCGACCTCCATTTTCATGCCTGATCCATGGTCAGAGGTGAACCCTTTTTGTGTGCTCATGAAGGGTCGAATGCGCTTGAAAACAATGAAGCTGCTTGAGGAAGGTTGTTACCAATGCCCATGCAAAATTTCGACCGTTAATTTCATGTTGATTCAGAATTATTGACAAAAAAGCATGGCTGGTACCTGTAAGCGAACTTTTGAGACACCCTGTACAGTGTACAGCTACGGCGTTTGGGAGCTTCTAACATCGGACTCATTTATTCCACAGGAGCTAAACAGCTAAACGTGCCTTGAAAACGCGGCCAGTTAGCTCCCTGAAGGAGACAAATTTTACCACTGACAACACCCAACGGTATTTAGTCAACCGGAACTGGCTCAGAGTTCACACTCATACCGTCAGTTCATCCGAGTCCTGGGGGTCACAGGGTATATGAGTCAGCAGCAGTATCGCGGACCGAGCAGTTGTTTATTTCTCCAGGCACCGACAGAGCCTGGGCAAGACGGCAGGGCGAACGGAAAGGGCACGGACAGCGAGGCAGACGGAACGGAGCGGCTCTCATACTGGCAAATTTCTTTACCCCGTCAGACGGATGGAGGGAAATATTTTCCACACAGTGCCGTTCGTGATAAATTGACTCATCTCCTGCAGTACTCCTGCAGCACTTTTACTGAACGGCCATCGCTCTCAGCACTCTGCAGCCACACAAAAGCCACTCTACCATCAGTCAGATCAGGCAGACGGGCAGACGGACCGAGCTTTCCACCCATCCCATCCAGCGCCGCTGCGTTGGGTCGGAGCCCCCGTGACGACTTTGCCCGCCGGGTGTGTGTTGGAGGGATGGAGAGGAGAGACCCAGGGGGAGAGGGAGGTCATTAGCAGTCGCAGGTCGCGGGGAGGTGCGCTGCACACTCCCCACCCCACCGCCTCGTTAGTGGAGCTGCAGCAGCCGACCGGAGCGACGCTCAGAGGTCGAAACGGGGGGAGATAGGAGGGGAAATAGTGGTGGGAAGAGGAGCAGGATGGTACGAGTGAAACAGCTCGCACGATAGCCGCGTACATGATACGGGAAGAGGCCCGGAAGGGTACTGACTTAGAGGGCTCCAGGCTGGGTAAAGTGATCATGAGAACGATGGAAAAATTACTAAAAAGATCAGCAGTCCTAGTTACTTGAATAAGCATTCAGCACCACCGGCAACACTGTAAAAAAAAGTTTAGCATTTGGGGTACTAACGGCTGCTATTCGTAGCACCTTTTAGCGTCAAAAGAACCCTACGACGTATTAACAAAGAAGCATGGTGCTAATACTGTGCTAATGATAGCTAACATTCCCATCAAATATTATAAGTTTAGATCACCTATTCTTCTACTGAGCTTAACGTCTACTTCTGCTAGTACCCAGTCCATCAGTGAGTGCTCTTTCAAGCTGGATTTCTAATTAGAACCATTTTAAGTGTTTTAGAAGTTGGTAATGCTGAATATGGTGCTTACGTTAGTATCACAATAGAACCGGACATGCTTACAGAGGAAACAAATTTGAAATTGGCGCCAAAGAAAGTAGCTAAGCCCTGCTTTACAAATCTCTGGGAGTCTTATCACCAGCCCTTTAGCACGTTTTGACGGCGCAGAGCGATATGCGCATGCGCGTGCCAGCTGTTTCCGGCCACGTGTTGCGCCATTTTAGTGGAGTCCGTTGGTCGTGGTGGGAGTGTGTGCACGTGCTCCGGTATATGAAGTGAAATGAAGTGAAGTGAAGTGCTCCGGGCACATGCCACCGAGTGATAGCTCTGGAATGATAGCTTAAATCAGCTATTATCGGTGGAATCCGTCGTGCGTGGCATGGGAGTGCGTGCCCCTGCTCCGGGAGGCAGTGAGGTGGAGGGAAGTGCAGTGCAGCAGTGCAGTGAAGTGAAGTGAAGTGCTCCGGGGCCGGGTGGTACATGAGCATTTGCCACCGACACATGCCACCGACACCGACGTTGATCGACTTTGGTGAGTCTGACACGTTGTATCTTTTGACATTATCTTATATTGTTTAAGTGTTTCATATTCCGACTTTGGCAAATCGCGCTTCTTGGTCTGAAGGAAAGTTGTGTTGTTTGCGAAAATAGCTCCCAACAGAAAAAAATCTTGGAACTGATCCAATTTTTTTTTTGCTCCAGGCATGGGGCCTGGTCAGTTCTTCCGTCGACTACCACTTACAATGGAGGACAACTACGACAACAACACGGGGTCTCCGGTTCCGTCTATCACTAAACGCCGTCTGGTCGTGGATGAGGTCGAACTTATGACCATGAACGGAACGTCGTTTCAACGACCCCCCCCCCCGCCTCCCCCAGTCGATCTCGCGTTAATCGTCGGTCACTGCGAGTGTGCAGGTATATGAGCGACCTTTCGTTATTTCCCGTGCGTTTGTTTGTGTATATATTTACATTTGTTTTTCATGCAGATGATATGAAGTGTTAATAAATGTTCCATTATTATTTTTTAATTTTATGATGTGTTGGATGCTTGAAAGATGCACTTACACGGGAATATTGCAGAATGCAAAACACAATCATTGAGACTTGTAGTTATCACTTATCTAGGATATAACCTTTTTTGCACGTCTTTTCGGCCTTACAAAATTTCCTTTTTGGTAATTGATTAGTCCTTTTTGCAGTAACTGGTGAAAGTATGTGCTGCTAAAGAAAGCAGTTTTTGCGAACTTTTCATGCAGCAGCTTTAACTAGTATAGATATTCTACT